GGAAGTTACTTACCGCAGTAAAGGAACTTAGATAAATTACGTGAAGTAACCAGAGAAGATTATTCCCGGTGACAATGTTATATCATAATTAAGGTTGCTGGATAAAATCTAGGATTTAGCCAGACTTTTAAATAATAAAGGTAAAGCTTGGTTAAATTATATTAAAATCTTATTAAAAAATCTGCAAAATTCAGAAAAAGTTAAAACTATATCAAAATAATGAAACTATATCAACAATTAGTAAAAATTTAGCAAACTAAAGGTTTAGATATTTAGCCAAATCCAAAATAAGTTTAGATAAACAGCCTTAATCATAATATAATAAATACGTAGTAATTAGTTATACTGATATAAATCCTTAAATAGTGAATATCTGATAATAAATCTTACTAAATAAATCATATTTAATATATAAAGTAAAAAAAATATTTCTTTTTTTACAGTTTTCTTTCTTATAATATAAAAAGCTTATATATATATACTGTATATATATATATTTTTTATAAGGATAAATAGTACAATTAATTAATATATTACTTCTTTCATAATAATTATATAATAACTAATAACTATTTTTTATAAATATTTAAATATTTTTTTAAATCCTAATATCAAACATAAATTAGTATCACTAGTTTAAAAATGTTTAATCCATTTAAATTAATTCTGAATTAAAAATTCTTTTATAACTTTCATATTATCTTTATAAAAAAAAATAAAATAATAATAATAAAAAGAACATCCAGTCAATCATTTATATTAAACATGTGACATATCCCATTATGTTTTAATTTACGATCAGCCGGATATATATTTATGTAAGAAACTAATTTTCCAGTTTCACAAAATAGCGATCGCTTATTTTAATTATAAAAATTGGTACTTTTTCATGAAGTTCTCGGACTTTCTATCCTTTTTTTTTTAAAAAAAAAAGAGAAAAAAAAAATGTTTGGTATTTTAAAGGTATAGATTATTTCTTCTTTTAATTATTCTCGATGTTTCTACCGTTTTTCTATAATAATTACCTTACATACATTTATATATATAAAAATTATAGCCCACTAAATTCGTTAGATCACATATAAGTGCTTCAAACTTATTCTTCAATTATCAAACTCGTCAAATTTCTCAGGTAAACTAAAAAAATAAGTAGTATTTTAACAACACTCCCACCTACATAATTTTAAAATTTAAAAAATTTCTTCTCAAGTCGTTTATTGTATTAAGCAGGTTTTCCGAATTAACTAAAAAGGTCAAAGAATCGTATCCAATTTCCGAAATAACACCACAAGAGCTTCATTCATCACTTACTTCCTCTTCTAATTTATCCAAAATACCTTCATCACAACCTCCAATCATTATTGATATTCGAGAAAAAGATGAACAATTAAGAGGGATCATACCATCAGCCATTCCTTTACCACGTGGCGTGTTGGAAAGAGATGTCGAAAGAAAGGTGATAAGCGTCGAAGAAGTTAATGATTTAGAAAATGGAAGAGATATTGTTGTCTATTGCGCTGGTGGTTTAAGAAGGTAATTAGGTTTTTTCTTTTGTTGAAAGGTGATTAAAAGTTTTTAATATTTATATGATTTATTTAGTGTTATGGCAGCAGAAAGTTTACTTAGATTAGGATATAAGAAAGAAAATGTCAAAAGTTTAGCAGGTGGATATGATGATTGGAAAGAAAGTGGATTTGAGGTTGCTGATTATGAAACTTCAAAAAAAAGTGCAAGTTAAAGTAAATATCAAAAATATTAGGAGAAAATAATCAGAGATATACCAATGAATTCGATGAGATTTTCGTGATTTCTATAAAATTTCTGATTTTTTTTTTTTTTTTTTTTTTTTATAATTAAAAAATATATATTAATATAAAAATATATATGATTTATATATTTTTTATATGCATATATTTTATCAGAAATAAACAAAAGTAATAAAAGTGTAATTTATAAAGTAATGGAAATTGAATTATTTATTTACAATTAAAGAAAGTACTTTTTTGATATTATGTTTAAAAAACCAACATAATTTTATTTATTCAAGTTAAATTTGTTAAACCAGGATATCAAACGTGAACAAAAAAATAATAACATAAAAAAAAAAATATTTAATTGATTTTGAGAAGTTCAACCTCACTATTTGATTGAAAAACGAAAAAGAATTTAGAATTTAATGTTTAAACGTTGAAAACCATCATGAATAAACTTGAATATCATCTACTTCTACTTACAAAACAAGGTCTGAATTAGGTGGGATCTAAATTAAATAATATCAGAAATTAATATATAAATTAAATAGGTAAATTCTGACGAAATCAATATTTTATAATGCTTACAAGGGTTGAGAAGCCTTTACTACCGTATGCATAATCTGAAGTGATGATGAGTCTAGCTTTTTGTCCAAGGCTGAGCTGCACAACACCTTCATCCCAACCTGTATTGTAACAAACAAAATTATAATTTAAACAATCAAGTTAAATAACTTTCATGATCTAAGCATACCTTGAATCACTTCACCGACACCAATTCTGCACTTGAATGGTTTTGATCCTGAAGCATCAAACTGTTTCCCGTTTGACTTCAAAGTTCCAACATCTTTAATTAAAAAAAAACAAATTAACAGCAAATGGAAGAATTAACTATGTTGCAATTGTTATAAATAGACCTACAATTGATAGTGACCGTATCACGCTAAAGAAATTTGGAAATTAAATTTGATTCATGAAGTAAAATCACTAAAAGAATGGTTTTATAACGTACCTTCTTTGGGAATGTCTTATTTCGCCCAAAAAAAAAAAAAAAAAAATGAATGGTTAAACAAATTCATTTAAGCGAAAGAAAAACATTACATTTAAAAATATCCTTTATCCTTACTACGCCGTCACCAGGCTGATTATTATTGAAATTATGAAAAATTATTAATTTTATTGACAAAACAACAAAATCTTTTGTTCAGAAAATTTTATACGAACTTTAATAGTTTCAATTTCAACTCCCTAAAAATAAAAAAAAGTTATATTAATTAAAGGTTGTTTTGTAAATCAGGGGAAGAAAAATTTTCTCTTGTACCATTTTTTTTTTTTTTTTGTTTAATTTATGTTAATCGATAGAAAAAAACAAACGAGATAAAAAAAAAAAAAATTTATCGACCCGCTTATATATAGAAGATTTAAAAATTTTAGTTCTCAGATTATCTTTTCGCTGGATCTTTTCAATGTTAAATGATTTTCAGAGTAACAATTATGACGCGTTTTGTCCAACGCAAAAAAATGTAACGTATTGAAATTAGAATGTTCGAGGATAAAATAGGCATTAGCCACTTCCAAGTCTTTTATTCTCCTTAAAAAGCGTTGGACCTTGGTTATGATCTTTTCCTTTATCATGGAATCACAAATTAGTTCTCACGTGTTTATGTTATTGAACCTGTTAATGGTTCTGGTTAGGCGACACAAAATTGGTTTTCATATCCAAAAAGTAGCTATATGACCCGGCCGCCCGGATTTTAATTTTTTTTATGGAAAAATTTCTTAATCAATCATTGTTTGTGACAATAGTTTAATTAGTAGTGTAAGATTGTTATATTAATGTTTTTATGCCGTTGTATACTAAATTAAATAGAATATATTTATTAATATTAAATTGTATCAAATTAAAGTTTAATAAATTTTATCGAAATGACAAAATCGATTGATATATGCGTTTTGATTGATCAACTCAATTAAGGTTAAAGACTAACAATGCTTTTCGATTGGTAAATTCAATTAAAGTCACGATAAATCGGATAAATAAAGTAAATTACATATGGATATTGTATGCATTGGGTATTATTAGTGATTAGGCTTCCTTTTTTGACTGCGCCATTGAACGAAGAACTGTGCCACTGAATGAAAGCATAATTTTAGTGAAATCGCATATGCAAGCTAATAAAAAGGATGTGAAAAGACGCGTTAGAATGTATTTTGAACTTTGAATTTCAACCTTCAACAAACCTTTTTAGCAATTATGCCGTTTGCAAATATTCGTATCTCTAAAGGGTCTTGTATTCTTCATGGGTGGTATATACATCCTATTCCATATGAAATGACAATAAAAGATTTTTTTGTCAAACTTATAACTGGAGAGCTATCTCCCGAGTGCAGTATTGCTGTAACAAGTTCTGAAATAATAGAACGTGTTGAATTAAGTAAAACGCCAGTTTCAGTTGTAACCCAAGTCAGCATTAACTGTGGTATCATCGAACTTATAACAAATGTAGGAATAAATATACATTACCGGCTCAAAAATGATGTTAATATAATTCCTACCTTGGCACCGGAGAACAGCCTCATGATCCTAATGCAAAATTCACGCCGATCCCAGTTATATTTGCCAACCTTCTCACAATCAGAAAGGGCAAATCGTAAGCAAATCTTGTGCAAAGATCTTGTTAATTGGATTCAACATCATAATGGCGGATGGTCTACTCAATCGTATGCTAGTACGCAAGGCAAACAATTTATTACTTGCTTGACCGAAACAATTTGGTATATTGACATGCGCAATCACAAGAAACTTGAAGAGCGCAGTTATCATATACCTGAGCCTTTCCTTGAATTTTTTGACCGCGCAAATCCAGAATCATACAAGGAATCACAAAAATCCTTTGATGCGAATGAGCTCAATTTACATTGCCAAGCTCTTGCTCCATATGCTACGTCATCATGGATGCTAATGGTAAAATTTGACTGGCTCCGTGATATATTTGATAGGTTCATTGTTGCTATTTCGAATTATGTTGGATTCCTGCAACGCTAACGTGATACAACTGCTGCGAATCATGCATCAGAAGTTCCTGTACGAAATGTTGACCAAGCTACAACCATTAAAATCCACAAGAAAAACATTTGGATTGCACCTATTGATAAAACCAAATATTATCACCTCAAAAACATTCTCACTGA